TGGGGCCCGAGTGCGGGGAGCTGCTGTGGGGTACCTACCGCATGGCAGCTGTGACCCGGAGCGAGCGGCGTTGGGGTAGGGGCGCGGGCCCACAGCGCTCTTCTGTGGGACTGGGGCTGTGCGCGGTGCCTGCATTGTATCTGGTCGTGAGCCGAGCATCAGGGACAGCCAAGAAGTGTATTTAAAAGGCCTGAAGAAAGGTGTTTGTACCCGAAAGCTTGTAAAGAACAATTTTTCCAACTAATAGTTCGTCTAATAAAGGAAATCACGTCTATCCACAGAACCTTGTTTGTCTTTAAAAGGGCAGTTGAGGGGCTGGGTCCACTGGGGGCACTCTGTGAACCTTGCCCAGAGCCACCGGAGCGAGGGAAAGCAAGGAGCACTGTCATCTGTGGGGTTTTTGGGTCCCTTGCTAGGACAGATGTTTGCATTTGAGTTATGGGGATGCAGAAAAACTAAGTGTGGGTGCATGCAACTGTTGCCATTGTTATCTGTGAATCACTTCTGAATTGCACGATCAGGGCTGAAGATAGCAAGTCCTCTGAAGAAGTCCTATTTATAAATCAGTGTGCTTCTTGTAAAAGCATCCGTGTAAAACCTGTGCGTATGTTTGCACCGCCTGCTGGAAGCTGCCTTGGGTTTTCTGCTGGTTCAAGTAAAAGAGAATCTAAATGAGGATCCCTGGAAATACTGTCTTTATGTAACTGCATTTTTAATTAGCTAATGGGGTTCAGCGTGCTGGCATAGACTTGGCATACAAAGTAATGGTGAACTATATATGCTGAGGTAGCTCAGCAGCAAATCACATGTGTTTTTCAAAGCTAAATATTCTGGTATCTGCATTTAAATCACTTGCAGGCACACAAAGGAAAACATGGGTAATGTATAGAAGTTGCATTATTTTTAAAGGAAACAAATTATTTATGTTCCTAAAGCTATTGGTTTCTTGTGGATGGAAGGAACTCACTATCTAAGAAAGCTTTGCATTTGAAAGCTTGTCTAAGTCTATCCCAGCCATAGAGTTGCTCTAATAAAAAAATATCTCCCACAAAAATTGTTGCCCATTGCAAAATTCCTGGACCATCATGACTACATCACTCAAGTGCTACCTAGATACTGTCTTATCAGGCTGTGGATATGTTGATTTTCCTCAGGCTTATCATTTTATGGTTAAAAATTGCTTTTGTTTTTGTGGGCATATTCTTTCAATTTTGAGTCATGTCACCAAAACCCCAGTCAAGTTAAATACTGAACTGACCTGGCAGTATTCAATTGGTGCAATGCCTGTGTGGACACTTCATTACCTTTTCCAGTCTAAACTGTCTTTTAACTACAGTTCCACCATGTCCTTGTCCTCATAACTGTGACCAGAGATCATTGTGACTGGAAGTCAGACCCTGCCTGTTGATATCCAAATGTCTTTGTGGAATTCCTCACTTCATACTCGCTAATACACTTGCTGCCATAATGCTCTGCTAGCGCACTAGGTAATGATATAGCTAAGAAGAGTTTGGACAAACCTGATGCAGGAGAGAGGTGCTTAATTTCCTCAGTCTGGAAAAGGGCAGTTCAAAACCAACTGCAAGAACAAAGATGTGCTCTTTTTTAAAATGTCTGAAAACACAAGTTATAGTGTGATGGGGCAAGAAGTAATTCCAAGGTAAGGGGAAGGAAACAGACAGGGGCAAAGGATGGCTACAGAAAATCTGGGGCTTCAAAAACTCTGGAACACTCAGAAGAAGGAACCTCAAGCAATGTGAGCGACACGCTCACTGAGAAAGTGGACTCAGAACATGCAGACTCTGTGGAGAGCAAAGTACTTTTTGAGACCCTGTGATCCTGTTGAACACAGCTCAGTGTCATCCAATGCACCTACAGGTGGAATACACTGTGGAAAGGAAAAGGAGCTTGGGTAGTTGTATTACTGCATGTTTTATTGTTTATTTACTCTGTTCAAAGGCCCTGACTCTCCATTACTCCCTTCCATGTCCCCTGTCCAAATGGTGGGTTAACTTATATGGGCAGGGATGGAAGAAATTGCCTTTTGAATTAGCTTGTTTACTTTAATAACATTTTCTGGCAGCCACAATTTAAAAAATAAGAGAAAATTCTCTATGCAATCCAGAAATATTCCTACTTGCATTCTTTTTGCAGGTCAGACAGATAGAATTTCTAGCAAATACATTCATCCTTTGCAAGCAGAAAATTAAAGATATTTGAGCATTTTAATAATACATTGAAAATAATTTTTGTAAACAGTGCAGTAACTGGTCATTCAGCCAATTCGATTTTTTGCGAATAACGGTGTAAAGTAAACAGTTATAAATGCAGTGGCATGGTTGTTGGTCTGAATATCCAAGTCCAAAGCAAATGTATCTATGCTGTGCTTGGACTGATGGGTACAAAATGGGACAGATGGTTTGCTGGTTCTGGGGGAATGGGCTTGTAGTAGTAGGCTCTGGTGACCCCTTTGCTGGTCTGTGGAATTCCAAGTTGCGTAGATTTCATAGACATTAGGGCTGGAAGGGACCTCGGAAGATCATCGAGTCCAGCCCCCTGCCCCAGGGGCAGGAAATCACTTGGGGTCAAAGGATCCCAGCAAGATAAACGTCAGAATGTTTCTTAAAGGAGTCCAGAGTAGGTGCTTGCACTACCTCTGGCGGCAATCTGTTCCAGGCCTTGGGGGCTCGGACAGTAAAGAAGTTCTTCCTTATGTCCAAACTGAAACAGTCTTGGAGGAGTTTGTGACTGTTTGACCTTGTTATCCCTTGGGGTGCTCTGGTGAACAGGAGGTTGATCTTAAGTTGATCTTAGCCCAGGTATCACTTTTGTCATCTGGCATGATCTTGATAAAATTTTTGAGCAGGCATTCTTTAAACTTTGCCCCCAATTTCTCCTGCAAGTGTAGGATCACTTTCCACAGCTCTTTACATCAGGGCTGTCCAGCTCTCCTCACTAATCCAGCTGCAGCAGCAACTGGAGTTTCTGGGCTCCCCTTCCTCCCACCATCTTCCGCTTCCTGTCCTTGTTCCAGGTATCAGGGCTGTGCAGTGTGGCAAAGCTTGCCACACTGGGAAATCCTGTGGCCTGGGTTGCCCATATGATGCGGTGCATTGGGTCCTCCCTGCTGTTATGGGCTTTGTGTGGGAAATATGGGGTGGCATCCTTGTGTACGTGTGGTACAGTGGGGGTAGGTGGCATGTGTAGTTCAGTGGGATTGAGGGGGCATGTGAAGAATACTATGGACCCTGCTGGTACGGTCTGCAGGGCATGTGGCCCCCAGTTGCTTAGAAACTAGATAGTCCTGCTTTATAGTAAACTTTTGTGGCACCACTGCTCTGAAGAGGCCAACAGCATTCAGTCTGGGTAACCTCAAGCAGATGTTTCTCTTAGGCCTTTCGTATGTTCATGAGCAAGATATCAGACACTGTTACCAGTCCCATAATAATCTTAGCAAAACTGAGCACACTTTTCATACGCCTGTTACCCAAGGCACCCTACAGTTCATCTCCACACCCCTCAGACCCACAGGCTTTGAAAGATATCTCCATAATTGTGTTGGTAATTGTTGAACCCACCACAGGCAAGTTAATATCATTTAATATCTTTATGGGAACTTTTTTAAGGTGCTTGCTCACTTATCTTTTTCTCCGCTATCCTTTTAAATCTAACTTGTTTTTGTCTTGCTGTTTATTGGTGGCTCTGCAGACATATCCTTGAGAGGCAGTCCTTCCACACCAAGTGAAAGGCTGATGTTGATCAAAATAAAGGAGGAAAAAAACAAGGACTAGCACAGGGGTGGGCAAAATGCGGGCCACATGCGGCCTGCCAGGCCATTCTATCCGGCCCACGGGTCCCCTAAAAAATTTAGAAAATTAATATTTATCTGCCCCTGGCTGCCAGTCATTCAGCCCTCGATGGCTTTCCAAAACTCAGTGAGCAGCCCTCCATCCAAAATAATTGCCCGCCCCTGGACTAGCATGTTCTCTGATATTCTCAAGAATGTTAGTCTGGGGCATAAAGGCAAAAGAGCTGAGGGGTGTAGGGGAGTGCACTAAAATAATATCATCCAACTCATGAGACATCAAACATAGATTCCACAAAGCATTATGACCTACACCTAGCAGCTTTTATGCTCCATGTACTCCATGTGCTTTGTGCCTTTGGGACCATATCCAGCTAAGGTGCCAACAGAACGTGCCAGTGTTTTGTGGACTCAGTAGAAAATAAGGGGAGCTGTTATACCCTGCACTGTGGTTAAAGTAAGAGCAATCAGCTCTTGCCCTTAGTTTTATGAGATTTTAAATGCTTTAAAAGTATTTATGTTGTATTATTATTATTAGTAGCATTATTATTGTTCAATAAAACTTGATTTTGTGAAAAATCCAGATTTATTTACTTTGTTTTATAAAACAGACATGTGAGGCCAAGATCAGTGCTTCCTGACCAGACACCTACACCATGTTACAAATTCATTGAGTTCATATACAAGCTAAGTACAGCTGATTCAAGATGTTGAACAAGTTAGCATAAATCAGTACAAATGCACTTGACTATGACATATTTGCAGATTATACATGTAGGTCCAGATCTACAAATGGAGTTAAGTGTGATGACACTAAGAATTACTACACTTAACTCTTGGGTACCTGGCTCTGGGAGTGGAATTCAAAAATCCAAGTTAGATGTCCAAGTTCCTGAGACTGGAAATGGAGGCATTTAGGTACCTGAGAATAGGATTTACAGCAGCCAGCATGCTAGGTGGGTGGAAGGGGAATGTTTAATATAGCCAATAGAAAATGCTTCCAAAATGATTGTGTCTGAAATCCCCCAAATCCTGTCCTAGAGCTAGGTGGCTAAGTTTTTTATTTGGGTACAAATAATTAATTAATTTCTTTTTCTTTTAAAGCACAACTGGAGGAGAAGCAGAATGTGGTGGTGGTAATGAAGGCAATATCTATTCATCATCTACCATATTAGTTGGAGTTTTTGCCCAAAAAGTTCAGGACCTATGATCAATTGCCTCCTCAGCTTAAAACATCTCCCACCTCCCAGGAGTGTGCCCCTAACCACCAGGCTAGAGGAAAGGTTGTTGGTCCCAGCTCTGGGACCACATGGGAGTCTTGAAAGGCCCCAGTGCAGTCCTGGGCCAGGACTGACAGTCAGCTGATTGTTGGCCCTGACACCAGGACCAGCCAGATTGTGGGCACCTAGCTTTTAACTTGCTGGTGCAGGAGGAGCCTGGAATACCTGCACTGGCAAGTAGTAATGGCAGCATTGGGATCTGATTCCTGATCTCAAAATCATGCCCCCTGCCATGTATGTGTGGCATGGCAGGAGGCATGATTGTTGGGGTTAGGAATCGGATCCCATCACACCATTAAATGAATGCATGCCAGTGGCCCAAGAGTCATGGGGCAAAAAAGTGTGAAAAGACAGAGTAAGCAAGGAAGGACCTGACTGCAGCCCTCGTGGGAATGTCCAGACAAGCACGCATGTATGGTCTGCGGCACTGCAAACCACATGTGCCACACATGCACACATTCACCGTGCTGCAAATTAGCAGTGCGGTGGTTT